ACGTTACTTTCAGATGCAGCCGGAGCAATTTCCTTCGATGGTTTCGTCTTTGTTCTCGTTTGCGCCGGCTCCAACGCAGGAAGCTAATCGTATTTTTGAAGAATTACCAAAGGCGACTATTGTCTCCGTCTCTCGTCCTGATGCTGGAGATATCAGCCCTGTACTATTGTCATACACCATTGAGTGCCAATACAAGCAGGCGAGTCTATCTCTTTCCATCTATTTTGTAGAAGAATTTAGGTCAGAGTTATATCTTTGCATAATAGATGCTTGTATCAGGATCTGATTTCAACTGGGTATTTAAAATTTCACGGTTACAGGATAAGACTAGCAACTTCTTTGAATTAGTTAGCTTGGATAAAGGTCTTTTGCTCGGTTCATCTCCTAGTCATACATGCACTTTAATATTGTCAAGTCTGAATATTGATCGAAGTAGCTACTATATTCTTTGGATGCCTTGTTTTTGCTTTTTGGGTTTTCATGTAGTCCTGTTACTACATTCAAAGACATGCTCTTTTGAATGAATCATCAAGTCAGACCATTGATCGATGTTATATAGCTGAATTATATATCTATGAAACGCCACAAGAGGAGACCCGTTTTATCAATATATGTATAGTGCTTCTACTTACTTTAGTGGAAAGGGTGCTTATTTAAGTGGAGCTTTCGACTATTGAATACTGAAAGTTCTTGAGTCCTAACTTTAGTGCTTTTCTGTAACAGTTCAAGTGGCAACTTGTGAAGAAAGCATCTCAAGTATTTTATTTGCATTTTGCATTGAAGAAACGTGCTTTTATTGAAGAAATTCACGAGAAGCAGGAACAGGTTTGTGTTGAAATTTGTAACACCAAGGAATTTTCTACTAGATTGTGTTTCCCTTCGAGGGAACATATAGAGGCTTTTCCCTGGTCTGCTTCTAAATCGCTTTTTATTGATGTCGCATCGAGTTTTGATGTGGTTTTGTTTGAAATATCACATTAAAGGTTAAAGAATGGCTTCAAAATCTAGGAATAGGGGATCATCCACCCGTTTTGCAAGACGAAGATGCTGATGAAGTTCCGTTACATCAAGATGAGAGCGCCAAAAATAGGTCAGAGTTGTTGGCATTATTTTTGGCTTGATAAGTTGCTGACGAGCGTCTGTTGTACTCTTCCAATGGATGTCATTATTTTCTGACATGTAGGCTCTTTTGTTCAGAGATGTTCCTTCAAGCGCTGCTTTACCAGTCATTCGCCCGTTGGGAAGACAGCAGTCTATATCAGTTAGAGGAAAGCATGCAATGCAAGAATATCTGAATCATTTTCTAGGGAATCTTGATATTGTCAATTCACGGGAGGTATATTTTTATAACTGTTTCGCTGGGTGGTCCGTCTAACTACTTTATCATAGTATATACTTAGTTATGTCAAGGGTTGTTTTCTCGTAGCTATAAATCTGAGTACAGCAAGTGAATACTAAAGGTTTCCATGCATTTCAAGTTTTTATTGCCATACACATCGAGCTTCTTTCCAGTTTAAGGCTATATGCATGCATAGTTAAATTCTAAATGCCTAATATAGGTTTGCAGGTTTTTGGAGGTCTCGATGTTGTCATTTTCGCCAGAGTATGGGCCCAAATTGAAAGAAGACTATATTATGGTAAAGCATCTACCGAAGATTTCAAAGAGTGATGATGATTCTAGTAGATGCTGTGGATGCTGTTGGTTCTGTTGCTGCAATGATAACTGGCAAAAGGTATGGAAATTGTCATTTCCTTGCTCATATTGGTGTAGTTTGTAGATAGCTATGAAAACTTAGTTACCTATGGAGTTTCGTATGGGATGGCTCGTGAGCTTATATTTATGTGTTCTGTGGTTATCCTCGTCCCCTTTCCCACTCTTGCTTTGTCTCTCAGCGCGTTGAATGACATGAAAAACAAATATATCAGAAGAAAATAGACTTCACCTGTAGTATTTCTTTTATAATGCCAAAAATTGTCACTGCTCTCATCGGAAAGGTGTTGAGATTCAAAATCGTCTTAATGCTTACTCACGGTGGTGAGATGTTAAGTTTAAAGAAGTATATCGTTTTCTTACACTGATGTAGATCTTTATGTTCTTCGATGTATGTGCTATCAAATACTGCATTTATCTCCCTACAATTCATGTTTTTTTCTCCTGATTAGACCCTTTCACAATCAATGTGACATGATAAGATCGTATCTAAGGTTCTTTTTTCTCCAGTATAGGTGTGGGGGGTACTAAAGCCAGGTTTTCTCGCCTTATTGGAAGATCCATTTGATGCAAAGCTATTAGATATAGTTGTTTTTGATGTCCTACCAGTTTCTAATGGAAATGATGGTGTGGATGTATCCCTAGCAGTAGAACTGAAGGATCATAATCCTTTGCGGCATGCATTCAAGGTTAGCAGTTACTGCCCTTCTTATCTTTTAGTTAAATATATATATATGCTCACTCCATCTAAGTAAGCTTTCTTGATAATCTTTTTTGTCAATACCCCTTGTTTGATAACTTATGATGTTGTTCTTTTATACCTCTAAATAAAATCTTTAGTAAACTGTCTAAGGTTTCTGCTGTTAATTTCCTAAGTTTGCATCGATTATGCCTGGCCTCTGGAGACTAACTAGAGCATCAGTTGCGTCATGAGAAACTGATAACGAAGAAGATTAGGATATTCCTTTTGTTGTCAAGTAAAGTGGGATTCTGACATTCTGTAGAATCTTTCTTGTTATAACCTTCTACGTTGAACTATCCTCAGTTTCTTGCTCCTTCTTTGCTACACAAATTTTCATGTGTTTAGATGTCAACAAAGATATGGAGAATCCATGCTTTATAACTTGTTAATAAATTCCAGGTAACATCTGGAAACCGGAGTATAAGAATAAGGGCGAAGAGTAGTGCGAAAGTTAAAGATTGGGTGGTTTCAATCAACGATGCTGCTCTTAGACCTCCTGAGGGTTGGTGCCACCCTCATCGCTTTGGCTCATTTGCTCCCCCGAGGGGTTTGACAGATGATGGAAGTCAGGCCCAGTGGTTCGTAGATGGTGGAGCAGCTTTTGCAGCCATTGCTGCATCCATTGAAAATGCTAAATCTGAGGTCTGTCACTATCCATGGCAGGGTTTGGCGAAGATGATGAGTTGAATTTTATATTTTCAACTGATTTGATTTGTCTTGTAGATTTTCATATGTGGCTGGTGGGTGTGCCCAGAACTCTATCTTAGGCGCCCTTTTGATTCTCATACCTCTTCCAGACTTGATAACTTGTTGGAGAACAAAGCTAAGCAAGGAGTTCAGGTACTTACTACAGACCTATATGTACTTAATAGGTCACTTTTTTCCTTTGTGAAGCGTCTTTAGTGTGCAATTGAGATCTCACTTGCCAGGTTTGAAGGGATGAGCATGCGTTCTTAAAAAAAAAAAAAAATCATTTTTTTTCATTGAAGGCGATGCTGCTCTCTTGGTAGCATGCCTTGTAAGACTTGTCATGTGATCTTGCAGAGAACCTAGCCATAATTTGTGTTTAACATTGTGAATTTGAAACTGGTCAACAAATAGTTTTGGATGTTCATTTTTCCTGTCCTCTAAAAAATTAGTATTATTTTTAATGGGATTATTGTTTGAGTTAAGATTATTTAATGCTTGATATGCTCTGCGATAATCTTGGTAAAATTAAATACTGACTTCGTTTTTCTTTAATTCTTTCACTTTTAGTCTCAACACGTAGATTTCCATTTTTCATTGTTTTATGAATGTAATTTTTCCATATTTGTACATTCTTCTACTCAAGGAGATTGTTTTTTCTTTTTACAACAGTGTAGACATGTAAATTCTCAATGCGGTGAGTGGATTTTCAATGATTCACATGTTTCTTACTATCTTCTTCAGATATACATCCTTCTCTACAAGGAGGTTGCACTTGCTTTAAAGATCAACAGTGTATATAGCAAACGCAGGCTTCTTGGCATTCATGAGAATGTGAGGGTACTTCGTTATCCTGACCACTTCTCTAGTGGTGTCTACCTCTGGTATGATATGGTGGACAGTTCTAGTATATCGCTCTAATATGTCACAGTCCTTTATCTCTAGTTCATCTTTTCGGGTTTGGTATAAGATAACTGTACCTTTAGGACTTATACCAAACCAAAAAAGCAAACGGGACAGACTTTGATTTCTACATCTGCATGTCTTTGTAGGTCTCACCATGAAAAACTCGTCATTGTCGATAATCAAGTATGCTTTATTGGAGGGCTGGACTTGTGTTTTGGTCGGTACGATACATTTGAACATAAAGTAGGAGATAACCCTTCCGTGACGTGGCCTGGAAAGGACTACTACAACCCCAGGTAAGAATTTCCTTTTATATGACGAGTATTAACAGATTTGATTATTGTGAATAAATAG